AGCCCTAGGAAGGAGGCAGTACGTCACTTCCAAAGATCGTCACTTCCAAAGATCTTGCCAAGAAAACTGCAGGGACTTGTCCAGGCAGTCACCAGGAGTCAAAAACTCAAAGGCATGCATGCACACACACACACACCTCAAAAAAGAAATAAAATGATGATAGCACAGTTGTGCCAAATTAGACTTGGTGAGGCTCTAAGCTATGCAAAGCTTGGAGGCCCCTAAGTTGCAGCAGAAAATCTCATGAAGGTGTGTACCAAAACAGGATTTTGGGTATCCACAAAAATTTGAAAACATACACACGCGTGCGCCTTTTAATTATTTAATAGCAAGGTATTTAAAGGGAAAAATACAAATTGAATGAACTTGTTTTCAGAATCAAAACTGATACCACATGCAACTTAAAACATTTTTTCTTGATTTCTCAAAAGCAAAAACATGAATTATGTGTTCAAATGATATGCTATGCAGCTTGTCATTTTAAAACTACACAAACATTTGCTACAGGAGATTTTAAAAACTACGGTACACATGAAAAGCCACATAAAATTAAAAAAATTATGAGTCCCTAAGCTGTAGTTTGTTTAGCTTATGCCTAAATCCTGTGTACATACTATACTTCTAGCTGCTTTCACCTGCCACTTTTAATAAAGTACAACAGCTGGCACCTAGGTTACCAGCTTCAGTCATACCTATGCCACATGCAGCATTTACTGTTAATGTGTTAAGAATGTGTATAGAAAGGATTGAGAATGTGGTCGCTAGAAGGAGTTAATACATCCCCCCAAAAGAGGTGAAAAATTTCAAGAAAAAGCAATATATGAAGCAGTATATGGGTATGGTAGCAAACAGGAAGGAAATATATGGAGAGAGAGAGAGTTGCTAGAGCAATGCTGACTAGTTTTTGTTGCTGTTTGCTTTTATTCTCATTTCTTTGCTTTTTCTTACTCCTTTTCTGCACTCTACATTGTATTGTTTACCCCCAAAAGGAATGATGTGACTATGTGTGCAGTTTAATTGCCGTTTGTACTGTTCGGCTTATCATAAAGCACCTGTAATTATCTGGGATTCTGATGTATTATAGAGTGACAAAAGTCCCACGTGATTATACTGTAAAATCAGTTTAAATGATACAGCTTTATGTAATGGTGAGAGAGATCTCCAGCAAGGGCGTCTTTGGGAAACAGTGGGATGGAGTGGTGAATGAAGTAGGTAAAGATAACATCTTTCTTCATATTGTGATAAATTCCAAAATTTTGGCATACAGTTTAAAATACATTCAAGTTCAGTAGAAATAACATTTCATTGTAATAGCTTCAGTTTAGAGGTCCGTAATTTAACAGATCTTTCCCTTAGTATCGTTGCCTTCCATGAATATTCTGTGTCACAAGCCCAAAAAAGATTATATTCCTATTCAGCGCTCATAAAAGCTTTATGTAAGGCTGGTGTAATGACAGGGACCATAGAAATTGGTCTTTTAATGAAGTTGAGGCTTGGGATACAAATACCTCTGCTAAGTTTAGATTATTGTATTTACTTCTGAACATCTGATATGACTCAAAATATTTTCTTGTTCCGTAGGTTGAATAGGAGACATAAACGAGATGAAATCCCTTTTGGTCACTGCTGTCACTGTTACCTTTGTTCTGGCTTTGTTCCTCCATTCAGGTAAGTAAGCGAACACAACAGCACAGGTAGTCCTTGCTTAAGGACCATTTGTTCAGCGACTGTTCAAAATTATGATGGTACTGAAAAAATGGACTTATGACCTGTGCATGAAGTAATAGCTCTTGCAGCGGCCCTGTGGTCATGTGATCAAAATTCCGGCACTTGGCAGCCTGCCTGCACTTAAGACCAGAGGGGTGCTGCATCTTTCCCTGCCCACCTATCTCCCCCCATCTATGCCCTTTTGGTTGCCCTGCACAGTGGCAGCGCCAGGGCTGAAGTAGAGGCCCAGGGCCTTCAGCAATCTCAGCCAATGGGCCTGCTGTTTGGAGAATGGCAGGAACCCCCTTCTTGCGGTGATTCAGAAGACCTAATTCTCCAAATAGTGCACCCCATTCCTTTTCTAAATAGCACACCCATTCTCACGAGACCTGGGGAAGAACAGAAAGTTTCTGACGGATTGCGAGAATAGGGCACATGTTTTGGAGAAGGAACGGCACAAGTGACTTGGAGAACAACACAAGCAGCCTCAAGAAGAAGGCCTGGCACAGCCAGCAGCTGCCTCACATATAGTAGGGTCAGGCCAGGTGTGCCTCATCAGCAGCAGGAGGAAAATGGCAAAGGTCAGTTGGGCGCAGCAGAGCCTATGAAGTGCAGGGTGGCAGGGGCAACTGGGGCTTTGCGCAATGGTGCTGGGGTGGCTGGCCATGGTGTGGGGCTTGAGGTGGCACTTCTTGGTGGTGGCAGCTGGCTGAGACTACTGAAGGCCCTGGGCCCCTACTTCAGCCCTGGTACTGCTGCTGACTGCCACTGTGCAGGGTGGCCAAAAGGGCATAGATGGGGGGGGGGAAGATAGGCAGGTGAGGGGAGTTGCAGTGACCCTGCAGTTGTAAGTGCTGCTGGGCTGGGGTGGCTGAGGCTTTGTGTCACATTGCAGCACCCCCCCAACTTGTGTGTGGCCTGCGCTGAGGCACCCCCACACTCCTTACCTGGGACTCTGTCCACTTAATGACCATGATTCTTGGTTAAAGATGGCAGCCAGGAGTGCTGGGATTGAGGTCACTAAATGAAGCAGTCATGTGATATCTCACTTTACAGTTGCATCACTGAGCAATGGAAATCCTTATCCCAATTGTGGTTGTTAAGTGAGGACTACCTGTAAACGACAACAGAATGCAAGCAATGCAGTGACCAGAAGAATGGAGAGGTGAAGGTGGCTCGTCATGCAAAGGGATGACTAAGCAGATCAATTTTAGCTTGAGTTTGATGGCTTAGAATTATGTTGGTGGTGTTCTGAATAAAATGATAGGAAAAAAATACCCTGTGAATGACAGATTCTTGATTGGAATTGTATGAAAGTCTTTTATAATCACAAATTGCTGAAGCAATCCTAGAGATCCACCTTCAAGGGAACTCCTTTTTTTAAGGTGATACGAGCAAAATGTTTTTGCAAGGAAGTATTTATCACTTCCTTCATTTTACCAGCTAATCCTTTGACTCATTTTTATTATAGGAAAAGGCAGCTATGATGCTCTATGTTTTCAAGACTGGGTGTTGACATTCTTGCATAAGGAGGGACTTAATCTAGGATTAGTTAGTGGCCTAGACATGCTCATAAATTCAATTACAGACAACAATGTAGACAGTGTATTGTGAATGTGAGATTCTTATTTATAAGGTACTTGTCCAGGCTTAAAGTTCACAGCATTTACATCTTCAAAGGATTTTTTATTTGTGTGTGTGTGTGTTTGAAGCATTCTTGACTCCTGGCAATTACGTGAACAACTCCGTGTAGTTTCCTTGGCAAGATTTTTGAAAGTTGTTTGCCATTGCCGCCTTCTTAGGGCTAAGAGACAGTGACTGGCCCAAAGTCACCCAGCTGGCTTTCATGTCTAAGGGAGGACTAGAACGCACAGCCTCCTGGTTTCTAGCCTGGTGCCTTCACCACTAGAGCAAATTGGCTCTCTTTTTTTTTGTTGGTGATCCACTTGCATTCTACCAGTTGTTTATCCTGCTTCATTGCTTTCAGTTTGCTGGTTAATTAAGGAGCTGAAGGAGCTCTTGCCAGAGAAAGAGAGCATGTTGGAATGCTAGGTTGAAGCTTCCCAAGTGATTTCAGGAATCCATCCAGATCATCTAATTCAGTATTGGCTGGAATTTGTTCTTTGGCCCACTCTAGATGTAGTTTTCAGCTGGGGAACAGTCTGTATAAAGCCAAATAAGTAGCTGTAAAACTACTGCTGCTTAATTCATCTGCTTATTTAAATACGGGGGGAGGGGGTTCATATATTAGTGTTATGACATATGTCATTCTACATCAGAGATTCACAGCTTTTTCAATGGACAGCCACCACTGTGATTTCACACAGTGTTGAAGCCAGCAGGTAAAAATTAGAAATGGCTGTCTCCTCTTCTATAGCAACAGTGCTTGCTATTGTCAGCAGTGCAGGTTCATTGTAATGAGGTTCTGGGTCTTGAACATTTCTGTAGTAGAATGTAAGGGCACAGAATTCTTGTTATGTTAATTTGTGCAATACATTCTCGGTTTTTAACTTTTGCTCTAATACTGAGAAAGTTCAATATATGCAGACACTCACTAACCTGACAGCAATGCAGAAGAATGCAACAGATCTCTCAGTCACAGTTGTACAACCACAGATGCCTCAAGGATTTGACATAACATCTTATTTCTCTTTTGGAGGTATAGCCAATGACTAGGTTCACTATTTTCTCTTTCCTAACACTGGTAGTTGGGCTTAAGTTTTCAGATTAAGTTAGAACTCCTCACTGGGTTAAGAAATGGCACCAGTCCTAATTCTACTCATTTGATTCTGTTCAACTGAATGGCATGGTGCGTCTTTCACATGACTGCATGATTATTGTTTGTTTATATGAAATATGACACCTGATGGTAATAATACATTTGATGGAATAATGTATTCTTTTTATTATTGTTAGACTAACAGTGTAGGTAGTCCTTGCTTAGCAACCATAGTTGGGACTGGCAACTCCTTCGCCAAGTGCTGTGGTCGCTAAGCAAAACATCATGTGACTGCAATGGGCTTATGACCTCACTTCTGCCTTGGTCATTAAATAGATCACCGCAGTTGTTCAGTGGAACATCACATGACTAAAACTTGTGATTTCACTTCCACGTTCTCCATTAACTCTGCTTGTCAAGAGCCAGTTTCAAATAGTTGCTAAACAAGGCAGTCAGTAGCGAGGCTTACTTGTTGCCTGTTTTCTAATAGGGATTCAGTTTCAGGAGAGAAAATTGTGCTTAGCTGCTGCTTTTTCCCCCCCCTGTTTGTTTAGGAAGTGCTTTAGTGTGTTACAAGTGTGATGGTTTGAACTGTAACACGAATGTGACCTGCGTAGGCAACCAGGATGCTTGCATATTAATACGTTTTGGTAAGTATATTATTTTACCTTATTTATACTTAGTTTGTGAAGAAATATACAAATGTATTAATGAGATTTTTAGGCTGCCTGATTCCAATGATCCTGGGCATTAATATGTACATAGACAATAAAATCAATAAAACTCCAATATATAGCATCACCTGGAAGGAACAACAACCAAACTCTCCCCACAAACTCTGTCAGTTTTTGACTCCTGATGACTGCCTGGACAGGTCCCTGCTGTTTTCTTTGCAGTGTTTTTCAGAAGTGGTTTGCCATTGCTTCCTTCCTGGGGCTGAGAGAGAGTGATTGGCCCAAGGCCACCAGCTGGCTTTGTGCCTAAGGTGGGACTAGAACTCACAGCCTCCTGGTTTCTAGCCTAGTGCCTTAACCACTACCCAAACTGGCTCTCCCCCCCACTAGCAGAGAGAAAAACAAAGGCACACCCTACCACATTACCCAAGGTCTGGGGAAGAGCTATGTTTTTAATACTCTTTGAAAGGCTGGTAAAATGGCAGGCCATACAAATCTCCAGAGGGCAGGTGCCACAGAGAATTCTTCCTGGATCCTGGAAGATAGCATTTCTTAATCAGTGGGATGTGGAGCCCAAGCAGGAGGTACTGGGATCAATGCCTAGATGGTTAGGCTAACAGTACCGATTCTGCCCATTTTGTCAGGATTCACAGGCTTGTTGGTGGCATCAGCAGGCCAAAAAGCAATCGGAGTAATTTGACCGTGACAAAGAACAGATGGTATCATCCTATCCTGAGACAAAACCGAGATCAAGAGTGTGACTTCCAGCATGGGTTGGGCCCTCAGTTCTGTTCCCCACCATCCTACCTCCAGCCCCTTAGGCCACAGGTACTGTTCTTCCACAGACAAACACTGTTCTATTACACAGGTTCTCCCCCAGCTGATTCTGCCAAAGGTGCCCAGCTTGGTCAGTTAAGGTTGCAGTGATAATTATACACTCAACACACCAATATACTTCCCATAATCCAATTCTTCCTCATACACCTCCCCCTTTTATCTCATACAGTTAAAGATCAATCTGCCCAGCAGGCCCCACCTTGAGCTGTGAAAACTAAGATGGAAAAAGAAAAAGTCTATTGATTTACTTCAGACACACTAGACTTGGCTTTTGTATTGGCTTCCCTCCATATGTTTTATATAATGCCATAGGATAACCTGGCATGCTATCTGTGCGGTGTTGAAGCAGAGTGCTTTTTGATGATGAGGGTGGGTTGTGGTGAAGGGGCTCCAGCTCTCCTGTCCTTGCTGGAGAACAAGTTTGGATAGAACCCATCAGCTGATCTCCCGGCTGCTGGCTTATAAAAAAGCAAATGAAGAAAAAGAAGCCTTGCGTTGAAAGAAAGAGATGAGACCCTTTTGGGGGTGTGTGTGTTGTTTTTTAATTAGGTAAAATAAGCAATAAAAGATGAAAAAGGGAAAGGGATACACATGCATACATAAAATAAACTTTACACTAGAGCAAAAGTTGGAATGAAAATGTGATTTTAAAAAAGGACTCTCAAGGGCCAAATAAATACCTTGGAAAGTAGAGAAGTGGGGGAGAACTGATGGTGAGAAGCCTTGTGTCTTGGAAGAACAGGTAATGGTTTTGCAAGATTAATAGCAAAGTAAGCAGAGTTGTACCCCCATGTGCCTTCCTCAGAAAAGCAGTTCTCTAGTAGGAGATGACAGCTCTGCAGACCCCTAGAAGAGTCAAGCAGGTAGGCTTATCCAAAATCCCAGGGGCTTGAATTTCAGATTGAACTTTCAAAAGTGATAAAACTGACCTGTGTTTCTAATAATGCACATTTTCATTGTCAAATGACAACTCAGAGGCTCTTAGTCACTTTATCGGAATGCAGTCCCCACCCCCCCGCTGCCAATTTGGGGATTATGTCCTTTTGTGAATTGAGTTGAACTGATAACAGCTACTCTTCCTCTGGTATTTTTTGTTTTCAACATTTTTGTTTTTTAATTCTAAGAACGGTTAGAATTATGCTACTTTATGTTTATACTAGTAAATGCTTGTTTTACTAAAACAAGTGCTTAATTATACAAACTATGACTTAAAGCTTGTTACTGAGAAGCTTAAGAAATTGTTGCTTATCTTTCTCCCTTTTTTGGTGGAAAAAAAATAGTATTTCTTAGTTGTTCTGTCTTGTTTGGCCTGTGGCTGTTATCAAATGGTAGAATAGAGGAGTGATAGAATAGAGATGGTAAAACCTTTCAATGAAATAGGATGTCTCCGATGTACAGGTTAAGGATTTGGGCCAATGCAAAATCTTTAAAGCAGCTTTTTTGGTTAACTTCTATTTTGTAATTTTATATAGAATTCTACAATATCATTTAAGGGGTTGTTTTTAACTTAACCTATAAAAAGGGTGTGAAATTGTTGAACAGACATCCTTTTCTCCAGATACACACAGAAAACTCTTAATTAAACAGGATGGGACCTAACTATATAATCTTGTTTTTTTTTTTCTTTTAAGCTGCAAGAAATGTATCTGACTGCTGGAGGTATTCCGATTGTAATACAGACTTTATTGAGAACCGTTTCCCAGACAAAGACTTCAGATTCAAGTGCTGCACATGGAATTTGTGTAATGATAGTCCAATTATAGTAGGTAGCAAGGTAGTCCTCAGTGTGGCTTTCTTGCTGGCTGTTGTCCAGATGTTACATTTTTAGTCTGGATCTTAAGTGGGGCATTGTTTTCAGTTTAAAAAGATACTGAACATTGGTATTTCACGAGAAAGCATTGCTGCTGGAGAAGATTAAATTATTAAGATACAGTATTCATTACATGCAATTTGTTTGCTATGCTGCACTTTTCATACTTTCCTTTATGTTACTCAATTCTATTTGGAAATTTACATCTAATCTGTAAGATTAACATTCATATAGCCAAATATTTGACTTATATAAAGACCTACTTGTGCTGGGGAGCTATTTTTGAATCTCATAAAATTGCGAACCACATTTTAACTTGTAAGCAACTGTTGCAATAAAAGTGCTATTGTATACTTAGGTCTGGATCGATTTTTTGATCTTCAGGCTCTTCGAAGCCACAGCTGAAGCTTGTCTAGTATGCTAAACCACTCTAGGTAACAGTGAATGAACACACCATCTCCTTGCCACTTTTGTGTGTGGTTCCTTATCAATGTTTAGTGGCTTTTCTGTGATTAAATGAAGTGTCCAAATACAGAGTGGCCACTGTTTCAAAGTAGCACTTTGAAGCCTATTTATTGTGAATACTGCCACTGCTAGCAGGAAATGATATTCTTTGTTTGGACAATGTGCTTTTCCTTAGAAAAGCCACAGCTTGAGACTAAAAAGTTGGGTGTAACAGCAGTAAGGAGGCAGTGTGAAAATGTGTTAATTAGCCAGTCTCTCTTGAATCAAATCTTTATTACAGTGAAAGACCAATATAAGCCTCTTTTGGTGATTATTGTCAAATGCATTCTTGCTCCTTCCTAACTGCTGTATAGCAATTAGGTTTTGTTGAAGACTCCCACATATAGAATGGGCAAGAAGGCATTATGTGAGCAGCCTTACTAATTATCGCTGGTAACCTTAGCATTTTCTGTATCTCTCTGCTGCTTTTTACTGGTCATCCAGATTTTGTAGCCCTAGGAGGAGAAACATTCTATAACATTTAAGTTAGCCTCTCATAGGATCCAAGACAATGCTTCTACATAACCTAGTTTGGAAGGAGGATTAGAGAAAGAGTGCTTGACACATGACCACGGGAACAGTTTTTATCCATGTAGTTGGATTTGATATTGGTACAAATGTACAACAAGAAGAGGTGAAGATGGTATCAAACATCTGTTTTGGCCAACCTCCTTCCCCCCCATTCTTCATCCGTTTCATGGGCCATATCTGGCTTCTTTGCTTTCTGTGTGTGATTTTTGTATGTTTGGTATGTTAGATTTTTCTTTTAAAAAGGAATACAAATGTACTACATGAATGCTGTATTACCCTGTCATGTTCTTTAAAAGAAATTGGGAGCCCAACTTAAATAAGCTAAAAGACAAAAACATTTTTAAAAGAAGAAATGGATTGAATATACAGGTAGTTCCCAGTTTAAGCACGAGTTCTCTTCCCAAGGTCACATACACTTTCAAATGAACAATCATTCTTCTTGTTCCCCAAGATGTGCTTTTTTCAGAAACTTTAGGGATTGATTGTGAATTCAGTTCAGTTAAATTAATTCTAAAATCATTAATACTATTGTAATGCAAATACAGATTCCATTTAAACCAGAATTATTCCTGTTGGGGATAATGGACTTTCAAATAGGAAAACATCTTATTAGAATTACTCAATATATGATTACCACAGCAAGACTTCTTTATGCACAATTTTGGAAAACCCAGATACAATACAATACAAGAATGGTTGTTAAAACTGATGGACATGGCAGAAATGCAAATACAGATTCCATTTAAACCAGAATTATTCCTGTTGGGGATAATGGACTTTCAAATAGGAAAACATCTTATTAGAATTACTCAATATATGATTACCACAGCAAGACTTCTTTATGCACAATTTTGGAAAACCCAGATACAATACAATACAAGAATGGTTGTTAAAACTGATGGACATGGCAGAAAATGACAAACTGACTTGCTTATTAAAAGAAAACTCAATTACTACCTTAAAGAATGGAAACCATTGATGGACTATTTGCAAAATGCAGGTGGGGTGAAGCTTACATTGGGATTTAAAGATTATAAATGTAATGGGATATATTAGACAAAGAATTATTATTTAATGTATTAAAAACTAGCACTTATGATAGCCTTATTATTTCTACGACCAGAGATAGATTGGAAGTTATCTATTTTTCATACCTTTTCTTTTACTTTACTTTTTCTTTTCCTTTTCTTTATATTTTGTATTTCAAATTTTTTATTTCTAACTTTTAAATATTTATCTTTAAAATTTCAATAAAATACTATAAAAATATTATTGTAATGTATTTTTCCTTTTGTTGATTAGTTTAACATAATGCAATATATGAACACACACAACGGTCTTTGGTATTATAATTAGGCAGTTGGGAAACAGATATTCTTACCTAGATCTTTTGGTAGGTACCTACCCAGAATATACAGTAGATTTTCATGTGGATTCTTTTAACCACCGCTGCTACATTGAAATTAATATAAAGTGGATGAATGTGTTGTTTGAAATATGTCCACAGTGCAAAGCTAAGATCTATGTATTATATAATACACAATACTGATTATCAAAATGTTTTCCTGGTTGCTTCATTCATGGAAGTTCTTGTATTGGCTAGATCAAAAAATTGACTACGAGTAATTAAAAAACAGGCAGTAGAGCTCCAAAGAATCACCCTGTGAAATCTCAGTGACACAACTGCTTGGAGGACAGAACAATTCCATTAGTAAGTCACGAATGAGTATAAGCATTCATCCAACCTGTTAAAAAGTATGCTTTAATTTTAATGCAGACATTTATTTTGAAATTGATGCTATTGGTGTTTTTGCTTCAGAAAAAAACCTCAGCATGTGTCTTGTTACAACACGGCTGTTTTTTTTAGTGTTGGAAGGAAAAGTGGTCTCCAATCTTTTGGGGAAGCATTTGGTATTTGGGAAATTGTCCTGGATGCAGATGCGCCTTTGCAGCATGGTTGCAAAGTCACATCCATTTCACAGGATGGGAGACCGGTGAGGATACTTACTCGAAGAGCAGAATATAAAGCAAAAGATGAGGCCTGAGGCCCAAAACACCGACCCACACTTTCGAAAGCCTATTTTTCTGTTCTAACAAAGCCTTCAAAACACAAACCTACTTGGAAACTGCCAGTTCTGGCCATTGCTTAGCATCACTCTACTACTTTCTCCTTACAGCCCTTTCATCAAGTTGACAAACGTCTGACAACTATGCTTTCATTCTAAATCACCAACACCCACATGCACAAAATTATTAAACACATTTTCAAACACATTGCTTTAAGAAACAATGTTCTTCACTTGTCCCTCCCAGGAACAACCCCACCATGATGAAGCAGCATGGCAGGACTTGGGGGGGATGATATGCCTACCCATTATGAATGTTGCCATAGTTTACTCACCCCAATGTTTTACCTACCCCCCTCTGAACAATAACTACATGGATTGAGCTGGCATAGTACAATCTACAAACCCAGTTGGCTTGGTTAACTTATGATTGTTATGCAAAGTGAGAAAATCGAATTGAGTTAACCACAGGTAAATGTATTGCCCAAGCACAGCCACTGAGTGCTGAAAGCACATGGAATGTTCAAACTCTGGATGGACCATATTGGTTAGCTGTAAGATTACTAGATCTGAGCTGCAAACATCAGGATGACCACTAGATGGTAGTAAAGAGGTACAGAACATTTGTAACTTTTGCTTCCATCTCTGATTGTCCAGAGTTTGTATTTCAGATCTGGTAGCCCTAGAATGACTTCCACTGCAGAGGAAGAGATTCCAGATTGTTCTTATGCTGTTGAATTGGACTGAATGCCTAAGAGCAGTCATGGGAGCAATACAGAGCCTCTATACAAAGACACTCCTGCTGGGATATTTTTTTTCCCCTCCGCATTTTTGGGAGCAACTGCACTGAAATTTAAAAACTTTCCTAAACCCTAAATAATTAGCTGTTGTGAAACAATAGTATTGCATAATTCATCTGCTCAATATTTTATTGGAGGGCTTTCATATATTATGTTGATAGAAAACTGACATTCTACAGCAGAGATTATGAACCTTTTCAGTCAATAGAAACCATTGTGACATTTCACAGAACATTGAAATAGGCAAATATTAGATTTTGCTGAGTCCTATTCAATGGCAGTAGTGTTGACTATTGTGACCAGAGAAAGTTCATAATAAGGTCCTTTGAACATTCCTGAAACGGTGCAACAAGGCACAAAACGTCTGTTACAGTAACAAGTAAAGGAGCCCTTATGTAATATATTCTCTATCTCCTAATTTTTAAATTCTGGCTCTACTATTGAGAGAGACTTGATACATGAACAAACCCACTAACTTCCCAGCTTTGCCGAAAAATACAACATGCGCTGTTTGATGCATTAGAAAATGGCTATATTGTAATCATGATATCTCATTGTATAAAATTTCCTTAAGTGTTGTGCATATCACCATATTATTGCCAGTGTTATTATATAGTTATCATAAATGAGCATTTGGGGGGAACTGACATTATATTTGTCATGATGCAAATGATGTGAAGTATATATTTGTGTTATTTGGACAATAAGGCAAAACGATGGAAGTACATAATTTATGGGTTTTGTGTTACAGGGTTTGTGTTAAAGCATCATGATGCATATAATATTATTTTGACATAATGGTTTTTACTGGATGCCTACAGTACCATATGTATTGATTTGTATCTGTTTGGTTCCTATATCCATCTTATCTCCTATATTTATATGGATGTAGGAATGGACATGTATGACAGATTGAGTACATGAGACCCAGTCAAAGCAAACTAGAAAAGACAAAGGGTTTCTTCTGGAAGTTTTCAGCTTATGGAAAAACACTAGAATGAAGATAAGAAGACAAAACAAGAGGTGGCTCTCAAAAGAAGAGAGAATTCCTATATGAAATATACCAGGCAATGACACTCAAGTGGAAAAGTACTAGGAGTCATGAGAACATTATCTGGCTGGGACCAGCCAAGCCTAACAGGAAGTTATAAAATGGGAATTGCTACTTGCTACTTATGAGCGGATTGCCTATAGACATAGATTTTGTATGGACAAGTATAATGAAATATGGGACTCATTTATACAAAATACACTAGATAAAAAAACCAGGATAGTCATATATTAGAAATATATATATGTACTTGAATAATATTTACATTAGACAAGCATATATAGAATTGGAACTATGTACTATTATAATGATGTATTAATTTTTTTGTTGTACTTTTTCACTTTTGTGTTAAAGCACTTTTATGTATTTTTTTCCTTTTTTTGTAATTAAAAATAAAATAAAATG